ATTTATATGCTATGTAATAATATATTAACATTAGACCAATACAATTTTATAATTTATTGAATAATCAGATTTTTTGAATAAAATATTATTCAAAATCATTTTCAAAATTTCAAAGGAAACGCATTTTCCATTTTTATATTTTCAGAAACAGTTTTTCAGAATTACAAAAAGAACGCATTTTCAGAAATTTCAAAACAAACACTCAAAACACAAAACACAAAACGTTTTCAAAACACAAAACACAAAACTGAAACACAAAGAGAACGGCCCCTAAACTTCTAGAGAAATTTAATGTTGATCATCAAAGTTCATTTTGTTTCAACTTGGACATGGAAACTAAACTTTGTTTCAAGTTGATTAGTCAACTTAAACATTTGTTTCAAGTAGGACACTCCGTCTGTATCTGTTAGTTCTAACAGAAAAACTGACATGGAAGCCTAGTTGGCATGTACCTGCCATGTCATCTTTTTCAGCCCTGCTATTTCAGCTGCAGCTGAAGGAAGAACAAACTAACAGATATAATATGATTGACCAAATCTTAACAGAGTTTAAGTTCAATGATCAACTATAACAAAATGAAGATTATAAACTAACAGGAATTTTTTGTAAATGTTTAGGGACCACGAATTATTTAAACTTAAAATATAACAGTAACATCATTACCTAGTGGTCAGGTGCATGAATAAACATTAACATTAAGTACAGGAACCGGAAAATATGCTGAACATAACATTGTAAACTGCAGAATTTTTTAACAAGAACAAGAGATCATTAAGAGTTAAAAGAACTTAAATGTTTACCTCTGTTCGCCCAGTCATAATGGGCTTCCTAGCAAATAGCTCAGCTAAAATGCACCCAGCACTCCACAAGTCCACACCTACACCGTAGTCAGTGGCCCCAAGAAGCAGCTCTGGCGGCCTATACCAAAGAGTAACCACCCGACTAGTCATGGGCTGCTTATTGTTCGGGTCAAAAGTCGAAGCCAACCCAAAATCAGCAATCTTAAGAACTCCTCCACTATCAATAAGGAGATTCGACCCCTTAATATCACGATGTAACACATGGCGGTTGTGGCAGTGTTCAAGACCAGACAATAGCTGATGCATGAAACATTTAACCTATAATATTTAAGAAAAATGCCAAAATAAGCAAACAATTCCAAACTCTTCAAGTGAATAGCTTTGGGTATTAGAGAAAAATTTAAAAGAAAAAAGGACCTGAGGCTCTGTAAACTTGATTGCAGGGCTAGAAGCAAGGCCAGCCAAATCATGGTCCATATAATCAAACACGAGGTACAAACTACATGACATCCTTGACGTCACTAATCCTTGCAATTTGACAACATTTGGATGATCCAAGCGGCGTGAGATCAATATCTCCCTAGCCATAAATCTCACGCTTTCGGGTTCCAAATTATCGAATCTAACCTTCTTCAGGGCAACAATCTTACCCGTTATAGCATCTCTAGCTTTATACACATTACTATAAGTCCCTTGCCCAATCTAATCATAATTGCCACAAGAGAGCATACAGAAACAACAAATAAGACTCGAATCGACCTAAGATAGAAAAATTGAGGAAAAAAAAAGGAGATAACACTTGCCTTGTCAATTTTTTCAAATGTATCTGCCCGACGTGGGGTCCAGCCATTGATAGCCTCTCCGGCTACCGCAGACAGCCAAGCTGGCCATCCTGCTGCCACTTGCTCCCCGTGGATGTTCTTAGGAGGATTGCTCAGCCTGGGATTCGGCTTCGACCTTCTCCTCTCACCTCTTTGAGGCCGTGCATTCCCATCCTTCTGCTGTTCCTTCTGATCCATACCATTTTGAATTCCACTAGCGCCGCCGCCATCTGCCTTACTTTCCGAAGCAAGTACTTTCTCTCTCCTCGACGTAGGCACGGCCGAACTTCTCTCCTCTCTCTTTTCCCTCCCTTTCCCAGCTACAAACTCGCCGCTAGCGGGCCCAGATGATGAGATCTCTCTCCCAAAAGCACACCCCATCTCTCAAAACACAAAACCTCATTTCTCACAGCATAACATACTCTTTCTCCTCATTCAAAACTCAACAAAAATATCACTAATCTGAAAAGTAAATAAACAAGTCTGCATGTAAAGAACCCAAAAATCACACTCCAAATCAAATTGACTAAATGGGCTTTGCTTAATCCAACAGCTATCCGCAAATACAGGAATAAATTCAACACTAATACACAAATAAAGCTATTCGGCCAAACAAAAAATAAAAAAGCTAAATGCGTTGTGATTGGAAAGCAAATACACGAAATAAACAGTATATTTAATTATGAGTTAACTAATAGGGTATAATAGAAGAACTCTAGCTTTAATGCCTAAGAAAGTAACAGCAACAATGATTTAACGAAGCCCACAATTTATGGCGGTCAAATTGAGCTAATAACTATGAAAAGGCAAAGGAATTGAATACAGTAAATATATTGATTAGCTTTAATCCTCGCTTATCTTTCTTTTTTTTCTTTTATGATTGAGATTCAGAAATTAAAAATCCCTAAGTTGATTTTCAATTTGTCACTGTAAAAAATAGAAATCTCAGTTAGATCAATCTTCGTAAGTTTGAGTCTGTGTGCGCGCATCACTGTCTACTTTGTCCCCTTTCTTTTTTTTTTTTTGGGCATGTTTGTTACATATTTTCATTTTCTACAATAAATCAATTCTCATTTTCAATCATATATTTTTCAATAAAATAATATTTCCCATCACATCAATACTTTTTTTTTTCTTTTTCAACCACACATTTCCCATCATATCACTATTCAAAAATCAATTATTCCCCAAAAAATCTCTACCAAACACACACTAAATAGCGCAAATATCCCCTTACCTATTGGACATTCCCAAAAAAACTCCATATCTTTCTAAAATAGCACAAAATGTCCCTATTTGAAACCTTTCATGAGGAATATCCCGTCATCCATTTTCTCAATAAAAAGTTATAAAATGACAACTATATTCTCATATTTAAATTAAATAAAAATGGAAAGAACTAATTGCAATCATAGTTCCAATTTTTTTTAAAAAAAGTGCAAACGAATCCTAAGAAAATTATTAAAAAATTAAAACTAAAAAATAAATCACTTCACCCACCACTTCTTCTTCTACGGTCATCGAAAGCCTACCCAGAACAGTCCTACTGTGAGTGGCGGCCTATTCTCCAACCGCCAATCACTCAAATCCCAAAGGAAAGAATGATGCAGCAAAATTAGCCACCAACTTACAGCAAAAATCCAGCACGTTGACGACCTCAACCCACATACTGCGTAGCCACCAACACCACCACAAATTAGCAGCAAGAGATGGGTGAAAGCTACAAAACTGTGAAAACCAGTTCGAAAATCAATTTCAACATCAACGACACCGCAAACCAATTTAAAGAGAAAGATGAAGTAACTTTTTAATAATTTATTTAGGACATGTTTGCACATTTTTTATAAATTTGGGATTATGATCGCAAATAGTTATTATTATTATTTTTTTCTTTTTATTTTATTTAGATAATATGGCATATTCGTCATTTCATAATGTTTATTGAGAAAATGGACTGCAATGGGATATTCCTCACTAAAGATTTCAAATAGGGACTTTTTCTGCTATTTCAAAAGGTAGGAGGATTTTCCACACAATATTTAACAGATAGGAGGATTTGTACTGTTTAACCTTTTTTTCCCCCTCCATACATGTATACATATAGAGACAAAACTACTGTGAATTTATTTTATAGATTAATGTATTCATACTTTTTCATTTTCTAAATTATAAAACTAAACTACAAAAATTAAAATATACATTTTCCATTTTATTCGTTTTGTCTTATTATACTGCTTGAAATTATTTTCTTCTTATTTTTTTATTTCAAAAAGAGCACTATTTTTTGCTGTGAAACTTAATTTATTTCTTCCCTCTTGGTCGAATTTGCCATTTTTAGGTCTATGGTGCGTTTCTTCTTCTTCATCGTCGTCGTCTTCTTTTTACTCAATGATATCTATGTAAGGGCTAACATGATGCTTAAGCTTGAGGAAGGCCAAAACTATTTACGTTGTTATATGGAACGATTATTGTCATCCTCCTTATTCGATTGCTTACTATCAACTGTTGAATCCTTCCTCGAACATCTTCTCTTTCTAGTCTCAATCATTTGCTAGACTAGCACGAGCCATTTTGTAAGACTAACCAACTTAATGCAAATAAATAAATAAAATTTTCACATATGACCAAGAAAATTCTGTTGTGTATAAATTTTTTAACAAATATACGCAAAACATACATTTGAAAATAAAAATTACTGAACGTGATTGAAAATGAAATAATGCATTTAACAAACAAGAAAAATGAGCAATAAATTTAATTCGAACAATAACATCTCTGCCATATAATCAATTCATGCAAAAAGAACATGTAAATAAAATTTCTTTAAACTAATAGCAACTTTTATTGATTTGTAGCTTTTTTTCCTTTTCTATTTTGACAAAAATAATTGTTTTTTTTTTCTCACCCCTTTACCTTTTTTACCCTTCCTTTTAGCTTTGTGACTTTTCTAATTCAACGTTTCAAAATTGCAGTAGAAAGCCAAACGTTTTCACACGAATGGTTCCTTAATCAATTTCATTGCTTTTTTACCTAATCCAAAACACATAATCGGACAAAAAAAAAATATGCCAATAATATACTTCTAAACAAACATAGGAATATATTATATAGGAAAAGTAGACAACTCAAAAACCAGCATAGGATGGGTGTCCAATCTTGGGGAATTTATATTATGAAAAAATTCAGTTAGCCAAAAACCTATGTATAGATTTTTTAACTGGGGTCTGAACAAGCGTGTTGATGTTTAGAATCGTTTACGATTATTGCTTAATTATGTGAAATTGTTTCTAAAGGACGTTTAAAACAAGATTTTATTATTGAAGTCTTCTGAAAATTAGAAATATGGGCATGGATCTAATTGACTGGTGCGCACGTCACTTTGAAACTTGAAGTAGACACCGTGTTGAGATCGTGAGCTCTGAATCTTATTTGATTGAATTTTCAACTTCACGTAGTGATTTACAAGATTTCATACCGTAGGATCAAGGAAACTACAAAATAGAAATTCTAACGAAGTTAGACAAGGATAAAAACCTCTAAATACCCTAAGGGTGCGTTTAATTTCAAGGGTGGAAAATGGGTGAAAAGAAAATGTTTTACAGGGAAAAGATTTGTCTAGAAAATGTTTTGCAGGGAAAATGATTTCAAGTGTGTTTGATTGGTATAATTTTCCACCCGAAAAATTTTTAAATTTTCTATTCGNTGTTTGATTGATATAATTTTCCGCCCGGGAATTTTTTAAATTTTCTATTCGTTTGGCTTTGTTTTACATGGAAATTGTCCATTAAAGTGATATTTTTTTCCACAATTGGTTATAAAATTTGTTTCCATTGCCAAAAAGAAAAAAAAAGGGAAAAAAATTGCTTCCTAAAAAATCATTTTTTTATCAAAATTTAGTATTTGTTTGACTTTATTTTACATGGAAATTGTCCATTAAAATGAAATTTTTTTTACTATTGGCTATGAAATTTGTTTCCATTGAAAAAAAAAAAAAAAAATTCTAGCCAGAAATTTTTTTCTCACCAAAAAGGCGGGAAAAAGTTTTCATCAAAAAGCTGGAAAATGCACACGTGTGGGCTAAATCCGGAAAATATTTTCCGTGAAAAATTTCGCCAATCAAACAGCCAAAAAAGTGGAAAGTGGAAAATATTTTCCTAATTGCCTGGAAAATAACGCGTATCAAACACGCCCTAATTATAAATAAACGAATCACGCTACGTGTACATCTAGGTTGACACCTATTTTGATACCCATGTGAGTTGAAATATTTCTAGACATTGATAACTACTGTCAAATTTTTTACACATAGGGGATGTCAAACAAAGTGTACACAATGGGTTACACCTAACTTAATTCAAATAAAAATAAGTAAATGATATTTCATAAGTTCATGAAAAGTCATGCTTAGTTAGTATCATGCATTTTCTTGAAAAGGCCCTTCAGTCATTATTTTACTAGGTAGCATAGTAGCTTCTTGTTAACCTAATAGTGAGCATTTTCTTGATTCTAAAGAAAGAAATTTTGAGCATTTCAATGGCTTAATAATATATATATTTTTTTCCTTATTGTAATTTGAAGATATAAAAAAGGCCATTGCTACTTTGAATTGTGTGTGGGGTTGCTTGACAGCCACTCTTTTGAGATTTGGGCCAAACTTGTAAAAATCAAAATCAAACATAAATTAAGATGTATTGCATTCTACACCCTTAGAGATCTTCAACATATGAGATTTTCTTGTAAAATATATTTGTATACACGATTATTGTTTATTTATTTTTTTAGCATTATAGTCAAAATTATAAGATAGAGTAATGATACGTGAGAAATAACTAAAAACGAGTTAATACATTTGACCTTAGATTTATAGATGTTAAATATGTGTATATTTTCACATAGTATAATGCAATTTGAAGTCATTCACTGCTGTAGTAGTCCTACGTGACATACATGTGTGACGGATAGTGATTTGATGCAATATCTAATGCAAGCAAATCATTTTTAGGGACAACAAATTTGTACTAAATCGTAACATCAAATATCATTTTTTGGGCTTAAATACGCGAGCCATAAATGAATGTTCATCTTATTTTTAAATAGGATTATAAGAAAGTAGAGGCTCAGGCGACTCATGGCGAATGATCCATCTTAGTAGCGAAAGTCATATTTTATTTATTAATAAATAAATAAATTATTCGAAGTTATTGAGTACTTAAGAACAAGTGCCCTTTCATTTGGATAATAGATTAGTTCTCAAGGCCTACATTGCTCCTGCATTGCCTCCATTTTCTCTCCCCGCATCACCTCTTGCATCCATTCCTCTTTCATCACCTTCATCAACCTCTACCACATTGCCAGTATTGCCTTACGTTGATTCCTCCTCG